CCCCCCATCTTATACACAATCCACTGCTAGGGCAGGTCAGTAATCGAGGCCACAACACTAACATTACCCACTACTTATACTTTATTGGGTATAAATTTGAAAAAAGGAAACAACATACACCCAGTGCAAACTTTGTATTTTTGGATATCATCAGTGGGAATCCCCACCACCACTGATTTTAATAGAAATTTAAATCTTTCCCATTAAAAGATCACCAGGGTTTCACAGTATTTCACTTTAGTCGGATTGTGTCTGAAACATATTCTTACATCCAAGGATGTAAGAGAAGCCAGCAAATCCTACTTTAAGTTCTTCAAAAGGAAGAAAATGTTAATGCGGTCATTTACAAGCAACTGGAACCCCTTCCTGGAAATGGGCTGATGATGAGAGTCAGTCCAACTATCCTTCAAACCAGGCGGGACTACAAAGATTTATTCTGCTTTTCCTCCCAAGGAAAAAAGAACACATTTTATGCATAAATCTATACAGCATTTCTCAGCTATATGAAAATACTTGATAGAAAGCTGGAAAAAAGATTTCATTTACTGCACAAAAAGAATGCTGAATACTATACTTACAAGGTAAATTTACTTCAAGTTCTGCAACTTCTGTTAAGAAATAAAAAGAACATTAATATTTCCTTTATATATTTCATATAAACATGTATACATCCCACTGAAAAAAGAACAGTGCAATGCCTTCTATAGAGGAGCTTATTAAATAGCTGACAGTGCAAAAGCTTATAATGCATCACTAACTGGAAGGATGGTTGTGACAGAGCTGAATGAAGTTAAATCCGTCCAGGACGGAGGTCCTGCACCTGAGTCGCGGGGGACGGGGACAGGGAATCAGGCTCCCAGCCTTCAACGGGGCTCCGCTGGTCCTGACGTCGAGGGTGAAGAGAGCCTGGGGGTGCTCCTGGATGCCTCCCTCTCTATGGAGGCCCAGGTCACCGCCACTGCCAGGTCTGCCCTCTTCCATCTGAGGCAGGTCAGGCAGTTGGCCCCATATCTCACCCCCCGCGAGACCAAGCTACGGGGACCCATGCAATGGTTACTTCCAGGCTGGACTACTGTAACTCTCTCTACGTGGGGCTGCCCTTGACACCGCTCCAGTAGTTGCAGCTGACGGCAATGCCTGTGCGGGCTCACATCCACCCGGTGCTGCGTGAACTGCACTGGCTGCCTACTGAATACCGGATCTGTTTCAAGGTGCTGGTGCTTACCCTTAAAGCCCTCTACGGCCAGGGCCCAGCATACCTTCTAGGCCGCCTCTCCCCACAGGAGCCCCGGAGGATACTGAGGTCTATGGGTCAACGTCTTCTAGCAGTCCCCGGCCCCCCAGGGACGTCCGACTAGCCTCGAGCGGGGCCGGGGCTTTTTTGGCCCTGGCCCCCACCGGGTGGAACAAGCTCCCCTATGAGATCAGGGCCCCCCTTCGGGATCTATTACGGTCCCGCAGGACCTGCAAGACGGAGCTCTTCCACCGGGCATTTGGCTGAGGCAGGCGACGTCCCTTTTCCCTCCTGGCTGTCTCCCCTTCAGTGGCCTGGATTCTTAACTCCATCTTAATCGCGAAGACATCCACCAGAATTTGTATGGTATTTTAGGGGTTTCGTGCTATTTTGTACTGTTGTTTTAACTGCTTTTAACTGTAAAAATTTCACTCAATGAAATTGCTGAGCAGTTGGGTTAGAACGGATAAAAGGAAGTCCCTCTTCACCCAAAGTGTGATTAACCCATGGAATTCACTGCCACAGGAGGTGGTGGCAGCTACAAGCACGGACGGCTTCAAGAGGGAATTAGATAAGCATATAGAGCAGAGGTCCATCAGTGGCTATTAGCCACAAGGTATAGACAAGAACTCTCAGTCTGGGGCAAGTGATACTGTAATGATTCCTTGTTTTATGTGTGTGTGTGTCTCTTTAAAAGTTTGGTTGCACGGTGGTGGTAAGTAGACTAGAGTGGTTGAGAGAAGCAAGTGTGGTATGATTGGTGGTTGACAGAGAGGGGGAGGGGTTTTGGAAGTGAAAATGAGTGGATGAGTATGTATGTCAGTCAAGTTGGACAGTTACATGTTGACAGTTGATAAGTTCAGTTCGTTCTGTGTGGGGAATGAGAGAGACAAGCAGATAGTTCTGTATGTGAGGGAAGTGAGAAACAGAAGGCTGAGAAAATAGAAAAAATAAATGAAAGTAATTGAAGACAAAGTTTAGGAAAGGCTGTATGTCCTGGAAACAGTGAACTTACATGACCTTGAGTTAAAGTGTTACAAAGTTACCTGAAAGATCCCTGTCAGTAAGGGAGCAGATTGTGTGTGATACACCAAGCAATTGTTCATTTATACACATCAATAGTTACCTTGTTCTACCCTTTTATTTATGAATTATTTCTATAAATCCTCATTTATTCAAGTATACCAGCTCAGAAAGAAATACTTCCTCAAGACCGCATAGTTCCCCATAAGCCTTGAACTCGGACGACCTAACTAGTAAGAGCAACAGTAAAGTATAAAGGTTTGGAAAGCCTTAAAATTTCCTGGTGGCAGCCGTTTATACCCAGTAGACCAAAATAAAAAGAACACTTTTAAAGGGAACCCAGTCCTCCAGAATAAGGAGGGCGTCACAGATGCTCTGTCTTCTTGGTGCTTGGGGGGGGGCAACAGTGGGAGGGCTTCTAGTGTCCCAGGCCCACTGCTGGACCTCCTGATGGCACCTGGTATTTTTGGCCACTGTGTGTTGGCCTGGATGGGCCATTGGCCTGATCCAGCACTGGCTTCCCTTATGTTTATATTGTTGGAACCCTCTGTAAGCCTGCTTGCGGGGAGGACGGGATATAAATCCAAACAAATAAACAAATAAATAAAAGATGGATAATTCTCACTCCGTAATAAGAAACAGCACATTTATTCTTTCTTTACCCCAAAATACTTCACTGTATTCTTGTCCATTGCTTGGCCTTGACATATGATGGAAAACATCCTGCATCTTTGCAAATTCTCAACTAAGTTTACCCACCTATTTGCAAAAGAATCTAGCAACGCGTTTATAAAAGAAACAACTCTCTTCAAAGCTTAAGAGACAAAACTGCACAAAAAACCTCGAGAACCCTTTCCTCCAATACACAACCTACTCACTCCTCATCCGTCTAACTCCAATCCAGTCTTCTGCCAACTGTGTCCCTCGACCTCTTCCACCGTTTGCACCTGATCCAGCTCCTCACTGCTGTGGTTGCTGAAGAGCACCCAGGAGGACCCAAGTGAAGGGGCCACCTCTACATGCCCAAACGCCAGCTTCCTGCTGGACTGAGCACAGTTGCGTTTTGCCCCCCTCGCTTCCTGTACAGAAGTGGCATCAAAAAACAAACCAGCCAACCGCTCCACCCATTGTGATCTAACTTGTGCCTGTGTCCATCTCATCCGCTTATCTCTCTCGGTACTCGCAAATCACCGTGATATTAGTTTCCCAGGGAAGCCTTCTATAATTCTACTAGGCCCTAAAGCCTGAGCCAAAGTTTTGAAAAGCCAAGAAACAATTCAGAAAAGGCCAGTCTCCTGGCACTCCCTGAGCCTTTCCCCTTTCACAGGTTCCAGTGCTTTGGTTTACTATGGAACAGAAGAGGGCTGGAAACAAGGAGAACAGCCCTGGTGAAAAGCCTGAACTGAACCCGGCACAGCAAGCGACGGCGCTCCCCTCTGGGAGACCTAGGAGGCAGCAGCCACCGCTCATCACCTCACCTGTGGGGCATGCAAAGTGGGGAGGGATCAGAGCAGCCCAGGAGTGTCCCTTTCTTGCGAGGGGGCAGAAATGTGGTCGGCTGCCATGTCTGCCACACGGCGCTTAATGCCTTTCATTAGGACCAGCCTGCAGAGACACGTAGCAGGAGCCATTCCCCCCCCCCCCCCCCGTTTCAGGACGACACCTGATGAAGACTTCTAGGGCGCTCAAAGGCTTGTGCATTGTGACGGGCCATTTGGTTGGTCCCAATGAAAGGTATTACAGGGATTGTGCTCTTGGTTTTTCGGATTTTACTTCTAAACCAACACAGCTGTAAACAACAACGGCCTTTTATTTTATGCCTCACCTTGCTCTTACAGCATTGCCTCCTGCCTTTGGCAATCCCTGTAATTCTGTTTTGTGGCATGTCATAGAGTCTTTTGTTTTGTCTCAGCTACAAATGAAGCACAGTTTGGATTCTCTGATACATGGATAGGATGTTACTTCTTTGCAACGAAGTCAGACCTTAAAACAAATCTTAAGCAAGACCATAGTTGGACTGGCAGAAACATGCTGCAGTCTCACATGTGTCAATTTTCTCCTTCAGTTCCTGGGCTGTGGTAACCAAAGTTTGCCATGACGTCCCTGACTGCATAAACCGTGGCTTACTGGCCACTACAATTTGTCTCCAATCAGCCACGTAGCCAGGAATCTATTTTTCAGGGGGCGCCGGGGTGGTGGTGCTAATTGAATTTAAATTTAGTTTAATTAAGGGGCAAGAGAAGGAGAGGGAGCGGAGTAGCTACTCACCCACCGTTCCTGTGTGATCACGTGACCCATCTGGGAGGGGAGGGGGTAGAGAGCTTGCGCTGTGACGGGCGGCGCCAGCCTGAAGCCACACTGGTAGCAGGAATCGCTTCCAGCCAGTCCCACGAGGCCAGGCACTCCTCTGGGGGGAGAGGAGGGAGCATGGGGCATGCAGTGCTACCTGGCCTTTTAATCTGTGCACCGGCCCTGAACCGGCCCTTCCCATCCTCCTTTTTCGGGGGGGGGCAGTGGTGGGGGTGCTGAAGAGTCATTAGGAGCCCCCCCCCACGCTATCTACGGCCCTGTCTCCTATCCAAAATCAGAAACCAGGTTTTAGAGCATGACCCTGCAGCATGTTTATTATTTCACGCCAATATTTTCAACTATATTCACCTTGCGTGTGAAGGTCTATATTCACATGCTCATTCTGCAAAGGTCAGAAATGTGAAAAAATGATGAAGTAATTCTAAAATAACTCCCGGGCACATGCAACACACTGGACTTCATGCAATTTCATGCGACCCCGATTAAAAGGTATATATATATATACCTATTTCACCCCCACTATTAGCAGCATGTGGGTCTTCCTTATTAAAGGAAACACCTGCCCACCTGAAATCACTTTGGCACAGTTTTTTCTCTTCACTTTCCCCCCAGCAACAAGTGCTGCAGCATTAACCCAACCAGTACCAGAGATGCTCTCCCACTAGTCCCGGGGCAATCTTTTCAGCTCAGGAAAGAAGAAGAAAAAGAGGAGACTGGATTTAGACCCCATGGCCCTTCAGTACCCGAAGGAGGAGTCTCAGAACGGCTTACAGACACCCTGTGAGGTGCAGGTGGGGCTGAGAGAGCTCCTCACAGAGACTGCTCTTTTTCAAGGACAGCTCTTCTCAGAACTACGGCTTGCCCAAGGTCATCCAGCCAGGTGCAAGTGGAGGAGGAGTGGGGGAATCAAACCCGGTTCTCCCAGATTAGAGCCCGCGCATTTAACCACTACACCAGACTGGCTCTCAGTTTGGGAAAGAGCATTGCGGTGGAAGGGGATGGGGACAATCAGCAATCAGGTGCTGCTAACTTGCCGGCACAGTTGCAAGGGTAACAAGCATTCACTGCAGGAAACTATTAAAATCATTCTAAACACATTCATACAAAAACATATCACTATATACCCTAACTGCTCTAGCCCTTCCTAGACAAAGCACAGAGTCACTCAGCTTAATGTTACTATTCTAGTGAACTGCATCAAGGGCCATTACCTCAAAGGCAGTTTTTGTAAGCGCTGTCACCTTCACTTCCTTCGCTCACAAGGCACCATTTCAAAGTGAACAAACTGCATTCTTTAAAAGGATTAAGGACTAGATATATGAGACTGGTTAAAAATGGGAGGTGGACGCTGGGCAAACAGAGACTTTCTAAAATGTTACCCAAAATGGATCCAAAGAAGGGGAAATTAGATTTTAAATGGTTCCAGAAAAGGTAACACGAGATCTTTGTAGCCTCCGTACACCAGGTTGGATCTCTGTAGCGGTACCCCAGAATAAAATTACAAGGAAAGTGAGAGAGTGATTTTAAACACAAATAAATAGCTTTAATGTAAACACAACAAAATTTTAAAAATAAAAATGTAAAGAGCCTGAGAACCTGAGAACAAATTCCCTAAGCGATCTCACTCACATACCCCAGCAAGAGGGTGCACTTTATAAAAGCGAAAAGAGAGGAAATTGGGAAGTTCTGGGGGGAAGGGACATTCAGCCTTAAATCCGGAGCTTGCAACCTGGAGAGGTCCAGGGTCAGAGGCAGCCAGAGTGGCCTCTGAAGCAGCCGCAGGGGCGTTCAGGTGGCGGGAGAACCCGGCACACCTTCCACTGAGCTGGGGCGGTCTCGTAATAGGGAAGGGCCCCACAGCTAGACACGGGAACTCACTTTCCCCAAGAACATGATTGGTCCAAGATATGAGGTTTGAATTTGACTGGGCAGTTGGAAGGTGACTGCTGTCAAAATCTGGCGGGAAGATTAGTAGGGAAATACCTGAATACCTCACACATTCCAAGGTGGAGTGATTGTTGGATGGTCTTAGCATATTGACAAAGAACTGGGGGTGAATGATGGGTTTAAGTGTCCTCAGGATGGTCCATCCTGGACGGATCAGATGTTAGGCTGCCTTTATCAAAGGCTGGATTGGATTAATAGCGACACTTAAGGGCTGCCCGGCTGTCTATAGCTGGAAATGGTTCACCCGGCCTTGATGGAAGTGTTCCTTGGAGCAAGGGACAGGACTGCATTAGGCATACCTCGGATCTTAGCACCGAAAGGGTTTTTTTCTTGAGAACAAATATGCCACTTGAGCGGGGGGGAGGCGGCACAAATTCCAGCACACCGGACCTCCTCTCTCCTGGGCTTTTCCAATGCCACGGCTGTAACCCAGGTGCCTTTATGAGACTTCCCAAGTTTCAGACCCCCCCCCCCGGCCCTTAGGCTCAAGGCCAAAAGAAAACGAGACACACACACACACACGCTAACAAAGGGGGTTTCAGCTGGAGGGGGGAGGGAGGTCCTTACCAAAAGCCTCTTGGCACAAAAATGTGCTAATAGGGAACAAGCATGAAACGTCACTCATATAGCTTAAAGCCTGGAATAATTCATGAAGACAGCTAATTATTCCACAAGCCCTTAAACGCCTGAGCTGTGTCTGTGATGCTCCCTGAAAAACAAACATGCAGTTAAAATATTCACTTCATCCACTTAAATACCCAGATCACAGTTAATACACGTTTTTTATACCCGGTTCTTGTTATTCCTTGGCTGCAGCGCCTGTTTATCATATGCCTAGCATAGCCTAAGCTACCAGAATATATAGTATTTTTACTTTAACAGGTAAACAGTGGCAGCAAAGAACAAGGTACTATATAAAAAATATGCAAGACCTCATTCACTTTACACTGAGTATGCAACTGAGGGGCAAGGGAACGAAAACCAAACGTTTTTTGAAATCACACATCCACCAGAGTCACCCACTGCCAGCAGATAAAGGACACCCGTCTCTCACGTGCTAGCTCTCCACATGCAAGACGCTTTGATCGAGCTGGGTAGCCATGTCACTCTGCCCATCGCAGGAGAAAAGAGCAGGAGTCCAGCAGGACCTGAAAGACCATCAACATTGGTGGCAGGGGAGGAATGTTACTGAGTCACTGCTCAAAAAAGCTCATAGCCTGCCACAAATGTTGCTAGTCCCTAAGACGTTTTGCAAATGGGGAGAAGGGAGGAGAGACGTATTCAAAGATGCATTCTCACACCTGAAACAGAATCATCAAAGAAAGGCTCTGCATGCTTTCTCCACATATCGGAATGGAATATGAAATGAAAAATTTGGACATTTGTCACTCACAACCAAAGAATTAACAGAGCAGGTATGTAAATAACAAAAAAGGCGTTCAAGCAACACATAGCTCATTAGCCGTATATAATCTGTAGCCAGTGTGTACACAAATGCCACTGAAGTCAACTTGGGAGATCCAGCTGGGACAGAATGCCACAGCTTGGTTACTATCAGGAGACGGGCAGAAGACGCACCCAATCTGCCGTTACTGAGTTCCACCGGAGGTCCTGACCGTGGCCTTGCACCCTGATATATGCAGGACCGTCTCTCCTCCCACAGGCCACCGCAAGAACTCGTCTTGGCAGGGATTTCTGCAGGTGGGACACCCTGCAAGTGGGCAAGATCGACAACTACAAGTACATGGGCCTTCTCGGTTGTGGCCCCCACCTTACGGAACGGCCTGCTTGGGGAGCTCTGGAAGGCTCCCATTCTTTGTTCAGTCATTCCACAAACTATGTAAAATAGAAGCAAAAATAATATGGCTACATTATAATGGACTGGTTCAGGAAGGGAACGTGGCTGTGGACTATTCTACTGTATATAGCAGGCATTGTCTTTTTGCTGTAAACGATTTCCTTGTTCTCACTGCATTGTTTTCTATTTACGTAATACCATCTTCTGCATTGTTTAACTTAGCCTAACACGACTGCTTTGTTTCAGATATCTATAATCCCAGTCCTATTATGTTGCTTACTAGATGTCTCAGCCTACTGACTGCACTGAGCCATCGTCTAATCCACTCTGAGTCTCAGTGAGAATAAACAACGTCTTGCTCAACTGGCAGAAGTGTGCTGCCATCTCTGTTCATTTGAAAAGCATTTCAGTTGAGTTAGTGGATGATCCAGCAATGATTTTCTCACACAAAACAGAATTACCTTTAATGAGCAATTTATCTCTAACCGACACTCTCCGGGTTGAATCAGAAGCTGAGCTGGATGCACGGGGGCCCTTGACACCATCATCCCGTTTTAGTTTGCTTGCCAGAGTTAGCATAACTGCTGCCTGCAGTCTACAACACAAACATCAAAATAAAAGTTGCTTATTATAGTAGCTTTATTCATCTTTTCCTCCAAATTTAAGAATTAAATGAAATTCTTTATAATTGAACGTACAACAGTACCCGCAGCACAAAAGAATTCTGTTTCCCACTAAGCTCTCTCTTCCACCAGTTTCAACCCAAGCAGAGCTGTATCCTTCCGCATCCACTGATGTCCACGGGCACAGAAAGGTACAGCTCCGCTTAGGAGGGCACTGAGTCTGTCTAGCTCAACCCCGTACACTTTCTTGCCTTACTACCTGAAACCCTTAAAGTCGCCAGAAACATAGACAATGGAAAGCAGCATCCCACTGTTAGTGATTTAATCATATCAGTTCTTTAGTTCCCACCCTAACAACGCAATCCTAAGCAAAACTACATCCTTCTAACTCTACTGCTTAGAATGGCACTGGTAAAAACTAGAACCTCCCCCCCCCCCGAATTTAAATAAATCCAGAAGAAAGAAAATAAAAATAGCAAACAACCAAGAAACAAACACAATAGCAAAGAAATGAACAGCTGCTGACAAAAAAGATATTGTTTCCAGTGTGTGAAGGAGAGAAAGAAAAATGCCTCCTGAAGTGAGACCACCTAGGATAACGTTCTGTGTTTCCACAATCCTTGCAACACAGGCTGCCGGCACAAGGACCTGGAACGCAGTGGCAACAGACGACGGAAGAGGCCTCCCAGGGAACCTCCGTGCTAGACCTCCGAGGTCACCTAGTTCCTGGCTCCAGTTGTGGGTCCAGAGCTGTGGACACCAGCCTGAGGGGCAGCCTCTCTTCCCAGGTTGTTGCCTTGGAGCGGGGAGTGTCCTGCTACTGGGCTATGACGGGCTCTCAGATTGGTTTTCATACATACGGTTGTCATCCATATCATACCTGATTTTAATGTCCGTGTTTTATCCCACTGCTTTGCATTGTTTACATCATTGTTATGCACCTTGGCTCCCGAGAGGCTCAGGAACCAGGTAGGATACACAAAAAGTGCAAATAAATAAATCCAGAAAGACCAGCCTTAACCCAAACACACGGCACCAATGAACAACCAAACCATCCAATTTTTTTCTGTTTGTGAAGAAGAAAAGGAGATTGGATTTATGCCCCGAACTCACTACCCAAAGGTGTCTCAGAGCATCTTACAAACTCCTTCCCCTTCCCCCTCCCCACAACAGGAAGACACCCCCTGTGAGGGAGGCGGGGCCGAGAGAGCTCTTGAGAGAGAAACTGCTCTTTTTCCAGGACCGCTCTCGTCAGGACTACGGCTTGCCCAGGGCCACCCGGCCAGGTGCGAGTGGAGGAGGAGTGGGGGGGTCAGGCCCGGCCCTCCCAGACGAGGGTCCGCCTGCCCTTCACCCGCC